CTCTCTCTCTCTCTCTCTCTCTCTCTCTCTCTCTCTCTCTCTCTCTCTTGCAACTTGAGAGAAGAGGAAGGAATTGTTAGCACAATAAGTTATTTAGGCTCTTTTTGTATTGGGTCTTATGTTTAGTCCTTTACCTAAGTTAACCCTAGATAATTTTTCTATTCATAGTCTTATTTATCTTTCTTTGTATTTTTACATAGTTTTCCATCTACAATGTGTAACACTCCAATCCAGGTATTCCATTGTTTACCCTCAAAGTATTTCATTTTGGCAAAAAAGGACCCTCCGTATGTTGGGCGTACATATACGTACGCTTAGCGTACGCATGTGCATGAAGCGGTGGCTGAGGCTCATACGTTGGGCATACGAGCATGTACGCGGGGCGTACATCGCCCATGACCAAACCCTAATTTCTAGGCTTTGGACACTATTTAAGCATACTTATATCATTTTGACTAAACCCTAATCAGCCCCCATAGCCTCCTTTCATCCTAAAACCCTAGTTTTGCAAGAGTGTGAGTTTTGTGTCTTAAAGTGTTCTTGGTGGCCATTCTAGTGGGTTTTCAAGAAGAAGGAAGTGGTGTTCAAGCCTTGAACGTGGGAAGAGCTTGAGGATCCTACATTTAGAGTATCTTGGGAAGCTTTGGAAGGTAAAAAGCTTTCTCCTTGCTTATCCTTGTTGTTTATTGAGTTAGGGTTTTCTAGAAGTTCTCTTTTGAGTCCATAAATCCTCTCTTAGGCGTTTGGGCAACTCCATAGATTAGGAAGGATAGATATGAGGTCCTTTGGCTTGATTATATCATAAAAATGCAATCTTGATGACTTCTTTGGCTCCATGCATGAGTTAAGACCCTTGGAAAGGTCTCAATGAGATAGAATGGGTTGTTGGGAGCATATATGGCATGCAAAGGCATAAAGTTTCCTACTTTATTCCTTAGGACTCTTAAAACGTCTAAGATCTGAAGTTTAAGTGAAAAGTCTTCATGCATTAAGGACTTAATGGAGTTGGATGGAATACAGTTTGTACGCTGGGCGTACTATGTTGTACGTTGCGCGTACAACTCCTAGACCGAGTACGCTAAGCGTACTGAAGAGGTATGTTGGGCGTACGCTCTGTGAGGACTTTGGGCTTCCGTGGAGCTTCGGATCTTTGGGCTCTAATGGTTTGGGCCTGGTCTAGCTAGATCATGGGACTGAATTTATTATTTGGGCCATTGTTGGCATGTTGGGCCTTTAGGGCCTTATGGATCAATATAGAATTGGATTTTTATGTTAGGCCCATTAGAGGAGGAAAGGTCTTTGGGCCATTATGGAGGGACTTAGACTTAGGATTTTGGGCCCATGTCTAGTTGTGTCATAATCCTAATTAGGGTTATTTGTGTAACACCGTAATTTTTCAAAACAATTTTTCACTTTTAAAAAATATAATTTCATTCACAAAATATTCTCAAATCTCAATGTATCACATCTTAAATCCATAAAACACATCCCAAGATCAAAATGTATAAAACTCTAATAGTGTGTACTGATCATGCCGGCGCCTTCCCGCGATCCTCGCTGGTACCTGAAACACATAACACAAAACACTGTAAGCATAAATGCTTAGTGAGTTCCCCAAAATACCACATATAACACATATTAGCCACTCGAGGCTGTAACTTTGTGGACCCTCCGGTCCTAACTCTGTGGACCCTCTGGTCCTAAATCTGTGAACCTTCCGGTTCTAACTCCGTAACTCTGGAACATACACGGCATGAATCACATATAAATAATGCAGTGTATCACAATCACATAATGGCATACAAGATACTCTCTCACATAACTCTAATTACCACTCTAGGTAAAGTATAATGAGAAGACTCACCTCGGGTAACTCGGTAAACCTCGAACTCTGAAATACTGCACTAGCCTCCGCCTAATCACATAAATAATTACTCTAATTAATACAACTTCTAAAGGCTAGGCTAACCCCTCTCTATAAGTTCTCTAAGAAGGGTAAAAGACCATTCTACCCCTCTAATGGCTCATAAGTCCAAACACTGACTAAACCTTAAAAGGCAACAAAGTCAACGATCAACATTGACCGGACTCGTCGAGTGCACTCGTGTGACTCGACGAGTACATGCGTGTTCTCTTCTCCCCTGGTCCACACTCGACTCGCTGAGTCAACCCTGCACTCATCGGGTTATCACAGGTCGCAAATCGTGGGGCAACGCGACTCGACTCGTCGAGTCCCTTATGGGCTCGGCGAGTTCCTCCCATGGAAACACTCATCTAACCTCCTGAGGTCAGATCTGCTTCTCTAATCTATAGATCTGACTTCCCCATGACCAATAAACATGTAAA